GAAGCGCAAGTGTTACATAGTGATGTTACTATCTTCCGGAAGTAAACAAAGGAGTCCAATGGAGGCCAGATTGTGCTCTTGTAGATTATGGAGTGTTGACGCTGGACAATTCACACATAAGGGATTCTTATTTATTTAATAAATGTACTGTTTTTATCGGGTAATTGAGCAGTCATTTATGCTACTGCGAACAATAACTTTGCTATCTAGCTAACAGCTGCCATGTGCAATTTGAGACAACACTACTGGGTCAAAATGAACACACAGTGCACGTTTTCACAGTGTGTGATATGGCAGTATATTAAGGGGAGTATCCAAATTGAGACACAGCTTAGGAACACGCAGGCTTAATGTTGAGGGTAGAAGAGTTAGACAGTTGGGATGGTTGGTAAGAAAAAAATCACAGTGCCAACCTTATCAACAAACTAATGCTGGAGGAAAACTGCTGGTCATTTTTTAGTGCAGTGTTGATTTGATGTGATGTGACAACTTCAGAACACATTAAATACAAAAACTGTTATGGAGTGTTTGACACACTACTGGGGGGCCTGGTGCACTTCACCATATACAGTAAAGATGCATTCAAAGTGTTGCATTATTTCTTGTCAAGAAACTGATTGGTCAAAATATAATCTTAATTGAGGTTTAGCTTTGTTTATTCTACTGCTATACATTATAATACATAGCTTGTCCCTCCCCCTGAAAGCTATTATTATAAACAATGAATTAATTACGTTTTTATTGATAATATTGAGAGTCACGCCATTTTAAATGATGGTAAGGAAAAGTAAGTAATGTAAAGAACAAAATGAAAGAAAGAAATAGTGGATGGTCGGATTATATTTCTTTGTTCGTCCATATTTCCCTCAACCTCAAGATATTTTTCCTTTACATTGCTCTGATAATAAAAATAGTCAAAGGAGCTTCAGTGAGCGGTCTCTGAGGGCCAACTTCACTTTCCTGCAACTTACTTTTATATCAATGCTTAAAAAGGTGAAGGTACGTTTTATCCTCAGACTGCTCTAGTGTGCACTGGATACAATAGCATGTAGACACAAAGAGGAGAGAACACACACACACACACCTATTGTCGACAAAATGAAGGGTGACGGGGTCAACTGCCACCTCACCTCCTCACAATGCTATTGTGCAAACTCAAGGACAAGAGTGACACACACACACACACACACACACACACACACACACACACACACACACACACACACACACACACACACACACACACACACACACACACACACACACACACACACACACACACACACACACACACACACACACACACACACACACACACACACACACACACACACACACACACACACACACACACACAATATAACCTCTCTCACATAAACACACTCTGCAGTCGGTCACAGACATCTCCACTGCTCTTTTCACACTTCATTCTCAATAGCACCTCATCAAGTCATCACTTAAGTGTGTGTGTGTGTGTGTGTGTGTGTGTGTGTGTTAGTGCTATGCCTTCATCAGTATACCAGGCATTTGTCCAGAGGCCTTCTAGCCAGACTGAGCTCAGAGGAGCATCTCAAAACCAAATAACTGCGAGGATTTAAGGACGAAGGCGGCCATATCTCTCTCTCTCTCTCTCTCTCTCAGTGCTCTTCTCTTCTTTAACTACCACTGAGGTGCCCTTGAGCAAGCCTCTTGGAGTTGCCAAGTGCCTCACAAAAGGTAGACGTGAAATTGGGCGGATTCCAATTATCAAGGTGAAGCTAGAAATGTCCGTTACCAATCACACTAACTGACTCCGGCTCATAAAGCGCTCTCCCCGAAGACACAGCAGTGACCCCTACTTTACCTCGATACAGCACAAGCATGACAACTACGGTAATAAGTGAAGACAACCGTAGGAACAGCGATGGTTATTGTTTGCACTGTGTAGATCCCATTAGGGTTGTTATTTTCCTGCTTCTGACAAGCTAATTAAAATGTACAGGTACAGAGTTGGCACGAAAGGAAGGAAGGATGGAAGAGGATATTGTGAAAGCCTGTCAGGGGAGAAGGAGCGGGAAAGGTAAAAGGCAGAATAATTTACGCTGAATAGGAGTTAATGAGATACAGCAGGAGGAGAGGAAATGCTTGGCAGAGTGTGTGTGGTCAGATTGTTTCTTTGTGTCTGAGGTGCCAAGTCAGAGCCTTTTTGATTACACACCTAAACTAAAAAACTAAATGGTCATCATTTTCAGTTTGCACATATGTTATTGCCTATAAAAGGAGACACTGATCACCACAGTTCACAGTAAATGAGGTCCTTTTTGCAAATGTTGACAGCAAGGAAAACGCTTCTAGTATTTGAAGGGAGCGAGAAAATTGCAGAGAATGTGCAAATGAGCTACTTAGTCTAAGTAAAAAAAAAAAAAGCTGTTTGTGCTGCAAATTGTATTTTTAGAGTCTTCACAATTTTCTGTATTCTTTACACGAATATGATCATTTTGAAACTCAAATAGATTTTTTTATGAAATTGTTTTTGGGGGAAAAACATAATATAAACCTGACTTGAAATTCTAATGCTAGAATGATGGGATATAAAACAAGCCAAATCGATGATTTTCCTTCAAAAGAGAGCTGTGTTTCTTTGTTTTCTTCAGTGGTTTTTACTAGCTCTGCTGGAAAGTAACTAACCTAGTGCTGCCTGTGTCCTGGAGAGAAGAAAAAAGAACAAAAGAGGAGAGAGATGGTCAAGGTTCTTCTCTGAATAAAAATGCAGGGGAAGGTGCGCCATGAGATTATCTAGCAGGAAGCATAAAGAAGAGATGGGGAGAGGGATGGCATGTACAAAATGTGGAATAACAATAAGGAGGGTTTGTATGTGTGAGAAGGAGACTGCACACAATGCTGCTCAAACACAACATTCCCCTCTCTCTCTCTGCCTCTCTTTTATTCAGTCTCACAGACATGCCTGTGTGCACACAGTATTATGTAAATAGTCTCTTCGGCAGAGTGCCGCTGTCACTGAGCATCCTCTGGGCCATCGAGGCAGCCTCATTAAAACAAGGCACAGCAGCCATTAATAGATACCAGTGTGCACATACACACATGCATACATATACAGTGTACAGTCAGAGCCTTCACAACACACACCAATAAAGGACCGCCCATGAAGCATGTCTCTAAATGTTCCTTTCAGGTGGCAGTCAAAAAATATCTCCAAGGAAACGGCTCAAATGTCACTGAGAACAATGCATGAAGAGTGTGCGTGTGTGTGTGTGTGTGTGTGTGTGTGTGTGTGTGTGTGTGTGTGTGTGTGTGTGTGTGTGTGTGTGTGTGTGTGTGTGTGTGTCTGACTGACTGACTGACTGAAGCACAACGAAGAATGGACTGTGCTGCTTTAAACACACTCAAGGCCAACGCCACAATACAGTCGAATACGCTCGGTCCACCGCTGGTTCTGTTCTCTCTCTGTGTGTGTGTGTGTGTGTGTGTGTGTGTGTGTGTGTGTGTGTGTGTGTGTGTGTGTGTGTGTGTGTGTGTGTGGTGTGTGTGTGGTGTGTGTGTGTGTGTGGTGTGTGTGTGTGTGTGTGTGTGTGTGTGTGTGTGTCTCATATAGTATTCATCTCAGGCTTCTCTAGTTTGCTGAAAGAGGACGGGCTCGATGGATTTGCAAAAATATAAGGATTATAAGGTTGTAAGCAGAGGGGGGAAGTAACTCAGTACATTTACTTAAGTGTTAAGTACAATTTTTGAGATACTTGTACTTTACTTGAGTATTTCTATTTTATGCTACTCTGTACTTCGACTCCACTACAGCTCAGAGTAAGAATGTATTGCTTATATTACAGTATCTCAATATATATTTATATAATTGTAACCCATGAAACTTGATACATATTATACACCAGATTATCCTAATATTTAAAGAACTGTTCAGAAAAATGTTGGACTGGATTTCTCCTCTGTAGTCCGGGGACAGATGTTGCAAAGTCTTGACTAAAAACAATCGTGACATTTAAAAAATAACAAGGTAATAAAGTCAATAGAAATAGACAACATAGACTGTTGTTGACTGTTTCTGTGTCTAAAATAAGAAGTACTTAATTGATCCTAATTTGGGAAATGTTTGCGTTGCAGCAGCACGAAAAGGAATTGTACAATACAAATTAAAAGACTATAAATAAACAATCCAAAATGTAAACCTCTCAAATAGAAATAAAATAGCATTAAAAAAGTAAAAAATATACATGTCAGGGTTCTTACGGTCATTGAAAACCTGGAAAAGTCATGGAAATTCAAAATGCTAATTCCAGGCCCTGGAAAAGTTATGGAAAACAATATTTTTTCCAAAGTTTTAGAAAAGTCATGGAAATGTAACTAAAGTTGCATCAAATATAATTTATATTTTATCTAATCGCCAAAATAGTAATACTATAATGATAATAAACACTGTATCGTATAGTAATGAAACGTAAAATGGCATTTAACTGACGAGGTATTTTGCTGGTGAGAGATTTTAGTTGCTTTAGCGTGGAGAAGCTAGTAAGCCTACTACATGATAGGCACAACATGTTTCATATGCAGACCTTATTTTCCTGTTCCATGTTCAAATAAACCTGAAAAAGTGTATGAACCCTGACATGTGGAAATACAACATAGACTGTTGTTGACTTTTGCTGTGTCCAAACCCTGTAAATTAAGAGGGGGTTGTGTTGTTTACAATTGTTGGACTGGATTTTTCATCTGTAGTCCCTGGACAGATGTTGCAAAGTCTGACTCAAAACCATTATGACCTTTGGATAATAACAAGGTAATAACGTCAATAGAATAAGACTGTTGCTGTGTCTAAGAGTTTCTAATGTGTGCGTTGCAGCAGCATGAAAACAATGCATTGTACTGTACAATAGAGAAATTAAAAGACTATAAAGTCAACAGAAATAGAAACGTGCCACATTTGTTGTTGACTCTTGTGTTGTCCAAACCCTGTGAAGTAAAAGGAGCCTGTGTCTGTTTCTGATGTGCTGGCCCCGCAGGTGGCTCCCGAGGTGTGGGTTTCATCCGCTTTGATAAGAGGATAGAGGCTGAGGAGGCCATCAAGGGTCTGAACGGACAGAAGCCCTCCGGCGCCGCAGAGCCCATCACCGTCAAGTTCGCCAACAACCCCAGCCAGAAGACCAGCCAAGCCCTCCTGTCACAACTCTACCAGTCCCCCAACCGCAGATACCCCGGACCCCTGCACCACCAGGCCCAGAGGTTCAGGTGAGTGCTGGGGAAAGAGATGTTCATGGAGGAGGAAGAGAGACGAGAGGGTGGGAAAGGGTCTAGAGTTATATTGGGTAGATGGTTGTAAATAATGTGTATTTAATGCAGAGTTTCCCCACCTTCAAGGTTCAAGGCTTGTATTGTCATGTGTAGCTACAGTGTAGTTATGACAATGAACATCTGAGGTCACAGGCTCCTCCAACAGTGCAATAAAACAGATGAAATAGTGGGAAGTAAATCAAATAGAATATAATAGAAATTGTGCAGAATAGTCTATATACAAGTAATTGGGAGCTCAGCCAGTGTAAGGGTTGCTCATATTCATTTGGTGACCCCACCACAATTGTTGCTTGATAACCAATGTTAGACGTTTAAAATGTGTCAGATAGTTGTGAAGATGAAGGACTTATTTTCGATTACAAAAGTCCCATTCATTTTCCCCATAAAACATTTTAAAGTGATTCGCTGCAGGAGCTCTTGTAAGACTTGGATTGACCTCTCAGAGTCAGATTCAAGATGAGTAGTAGTTTGAAGATCTACATTTGAAGATATTGGATTCTTAATATAAGTTAATCAAATAGTCAAATGCTTGTGTACATAGAAAAAACCGTAACGTTAGAAGTTAAGCTAGAAACTCACGGTGCATTTTGGCAATAACTTTACCAGAGCTTTAAAATGTGTTCATGGAGGAGGAAGAGAGACATGAGAGGGTGGGAGAGAGTCCAGACAGTGGTGAAGACTTATATTGGGTATATGGTTTTAAATAATGTGTACTTAATGCAGAGTTTCCCCACCGTTGGAGCTCAGCCAGTGTAAGGGTTTCTCATGTTCATACAGTGACCCCACCTAAATTCTTGATTGATAACCAATGTTAGAAGTTTGGGTTCCCATTCATTTTCTCCATTAAACATTTAAAGTGACTCACTGCAGGAGCTCTTTTAACACTTGGATTGACCTCTCATAGAGTCAGATTCAAGATGAGTAGTAGTTTGAAGATCTACATTTGAAGATATTGGATTCCTAATACAAATAAATAAAATAGTCAAATCTACAAGCAGTCAAAAAAACGTGACGTTAGAAGTCTAGCTAGACACCCAATGTGTATTTTGGCCTTATTTTCCAGAGCTTAAGATTGTGTGTTAAAATAATAATGGCCAGTAAGGGTATCACGAGAACCGATACCTAACTCACTGCCACACAAAAAAATATGTGAAGGTACCGGTACTTGCTTTTCCACAGTACTGTAGGTACCATGAGTAAGTCATAAATTGTGTTCTGGATGCAGTAAACTCACTATGGAAACATCCAGGGGACGCACCCAATTTTTTTCCTAGTAATTCTACATTTTGAACAACAAATTGATGTTGAAATTGTCAGGAGGAGAACTGGTTAAAAGAGGTTCAATAGAGTTGCATTAAAGTGCATTCATGCTACATTTAGTAAAATTAACTATTGAGCAAAGATGAATTATGTTGTGAGGATGTGTTCAATTGTAATCGAGTAAAATGATGGCTTTGTGGAGAAACTTCAACACTATTTATCAACAATATAATATGTATATTATATTGGGAATTAATTATTAGAGAGGGAACAGTAAGAAATTAAAAGGAGTTCATTTGGAAGTTCATGGAAGTTATGTGTTTGTTTTTGGTGTTAACCATGGATAAGATAATTGTGACATATCACTGGAACTGGTATCGTGACACTCTTAATGGCCATATCGTTAACATTTAAGCATAACCAGGAGCCTTTAAATGTGAAATCAGAGAGGGATATAAACTTTCCACGATCAGCATCTGCTCCTACTCACCAGCCCTACTTAGCTCATGATGTAACGAAATGAAACACAAAATGCTCGGGGCTTAAAAGGATGAAGAATAAGAACGGGGTCACCAGGAACATTTGCCCAAAAGGTTGGAAATCTCCAGGTTCAGGAGTTCAAGTTCAGAGTGCTGGAAAGCAGCCGACATTTAGACACAGTGATACACAGCATCATGATTTCTAAAACAAGTATAAGGTATAAAAACTTCAGTGGGTTCGCTATCATTAAAAGAAACACAGGATTGCTATTTAACATCATCAGTTTCATTCTCGATGGCAATTGTTCTCGGTTTATGTAACGATAAATGAGTTTTATCCACCACATCTGTTCTAAACAACAAGCCTGATTTGGAAAACATTCGCACCAAATGCAATTTAAAACGTCGGGGGATGTTACACCTACAGGAAGAGAGCATGAGTCACAGCAGAATCTTATCTACCAGCAGTGATGCACTTTTTTTCTCCTGTGAACATTTATTTCAGAAAACAAGTCCCCCCCCCTCCCCTTCCTTTTGAACAACAGGTGTGAGCTCTGCAGCCGACGCAGGTGTCGATACATCAAACTGTGCGGGTCCACCCAGATTAGAGAGGATCTGTTCATAAGAGACTGTGGGGTTCTGTCGTTCACAACTACGTATTTCCCCTCATTTCATCATGCTGCCATCCTGTCAACACATCCCAGAACGCTGCCTGTGAGGGCTAAACAACATGTATTTGGATTGTTGTAAATGTTAATCAAACGTTCCCGTACTAATTTAAAGCCCACATTTGGCATCATGTGGTCACATTAGGCACAGAACTGCAAATTGTCTCACTTCAAATAGATCTTTTTAAAAGCATAAATGAAATACTGCCCTGCGTAAGAAGCTGGAGTTATGTCGGAGAGACTAATGTTTTTAATCCAATGAACATTTGGCAAATCAAAACAAATGATACCCAATTAAATTTAAGGATTTAGGGTTTAACCTCGATTCAATCTAATTAAATAGAGTGCATATTAAGCACTTCAAGTCTTTTCCAAAACGACAAGCTGTACCTTATCATATACAGTATTTGTATATGCTGTATATATGGCATACATATAGTCATGTCCTGTCACTCGCTAATGACACAAACAAGTATTTGTCTTTCATGTAAACGTTAGCTATCAGGGCTCAAATCACGCTAACTTCCACTTTAACAAAACACGACACAGAAACAAGCGATGGCACAACGACGCTATCATCCGATCCAACGAGGAGCATTTTCTGAATTGGGAAAAGACGAGATGTGCTTATACAATTTCCCCCTCTCTTTCAATAACAGTAAGCCGGTCGTGCTGTTTACTCTCTATCAAAGTCAGCGCTCGGAAAGGTATTTTTCTGGCGGAGCGGCTTCCCTGGTGTGACACCTGAGCGATGTAGCGTGGCTGTGTGTCTGTGATACGCCAAGCCAATTTACAGGCTCTGCAGGAGAGCTGTCGCTTCTCATCTCGACTCACAGGACACTTCCTAACTGCGTCTCTGTGCTCCTGCTCCCAAACCTGCCTCGAAAAACCCCAACATTTCAGAAGTGGGAAATGTGTACGATGTATGCGCAGTTTCCCTTTCTTTCTTTTATTTCGAAATCCTTTAAAGGCAGCGCAAAAACTCCCTTATTTATCACGGTGTTCAGTCAAACCTGAGCTACCGTTTGTTCTGTTGATCTCGTAAGGAGACTTAATTAAATGTATACTAAGATACAATTTACTCAAGAAGTAAATATGCTTGTGACTCACTAAAGAATATGAAGCAAAAAGGATGTATGCCTCAAACAACCAAACTACTGTTGGTATACTATATTAAATCTAAAGTAAGATGTGAACGATTGTTTCAAAAGGTTAAAATACATATAATTAACTTGAAGCCAGAAGGATCTAATCATGTATGCCTGAAACAAAATGAAATGTAAATTAGCCCTGGGAGAAAAATCAATTAAGAGATTTAAATCTGATACTAAGTCAACACAGTATTCAGTCAAACCTGAGCCACTGTGTGTTCTAATCTAAAGTAAGATATGTGTATGTTTTAAATGTAAATACATTTAATGAACTAATAATAATAAAGCAGAAAGGATATACTTGTTTGCTTGAAACAAATGTAAATTGGCACTGGGATAGAAAATCCATTAGAAAGCTGATACTCCTGCTCTTCTCCCTGATCCGACACAGTATTCAGTCAAACCTAATACACCGTTTGATCCATCCATTTAATTTTGTACTTTTATCACTACACATTTTTATGTGTAGTGATAAAAGTACAAAATTAAATATTTGTATGTTTCAAAGATGTAATTAACAAAGAAAAGGCAAAAATATCCCCTGAAGTATTCCTCAAACGAGATTAGGTCTGGGGAAAAACCCCATTAGAGATTAGAAAGCTGATACTCCTGCTCTTCTCCCTGATCCAACATAGTATTCAGTCAGAGCTAATACACCGTTTGCACCATTTTACTCAAAAATATGTAGTGATAAAAGTATTAAATTAAATATTTGTATGTTTCAAAGATGTAATTAACAAAGAAAAGGCAAAAAGGGTTAGGGTTCAGTATGCAGTCAAACCTAATATACCGTTTGTTCCATTCTACTCAAAAATGTGTTAAAAAATGAAATATTTGTATGTTTCAAAGATACAAAATACATGTAATTAATAAAAGAAAGACAGACATATCCCCTGCAGTATGCCTGAAACAAGATTAGCTCTGGGGAAAAACCCCTTTAGAAATGATAAAAATGATACTCCTTGTTTCCAAACTTAACACATTCGTGCTGCTGCTTATAGGTAAGTGAGAAACATAATTATAAATGCATCCATCCTGTGTGACTAAACCATGTTGGCCTGCTGCAACACAAGGCGATGTATAATATGCTTTGGTCGCTCTCAAAGACCATCAAACATCTCCGACTCGAGCACAATGCAGCGAGGTCCTCCGTCGTTAACTAATGGCGCTAATTAGCAAATTAGCCTTATTATATCCGGGGCAGGAGCCAATTTTAATTGAACGGGTTTTTGTTTCAAATAAAAAGGCGGAAGACAAAAACACCCATTCCTCCATTAACGTGCATTGAGAGAAAGAACAAAAGGCGCCATTGTTTATGTGGAGCTTGGAGAGGCAGTGTGAAAAGCTGCCGGAGTGTGTGTGTGGGGAGCGAGCATCGGTGTGCGTGAGGTGGAGAGAGAGGCAGCAGCAGGTTGTTTTGTTGTGGCCCTTCGGCATGGCGTCCAGCAGATGTCCTCCCGCGCCTCTGAGCATCCTCTACAATTGACTCATTTACCCACAAAGCAGCCTGTTTGTTCGCTTCCCACGTAATGAGCTAATTACTGCTTTAATGACTCCGTAGACCCCTTCCACTACTATCTTGTCCTTTGTTTTAGGGCTCTTAATTCAGGGTTATATCAGCGGGGAGAAAAGGGCAACAGAGCAGACACACCCGATAATAAGTAGGCCTACAAAATACAAAAATAGCTTGAAAAATACAAAAATGAATTAATCAATTATCTTCAACGTGGGGATTTCTTTGAAAGGACGTATGACTAGATGACTTTTTTATTAAATGCATCTTAAAGGTTTAAATAAATAAAAATCAATACTTGCAGCTTGTAAATAATATTTAAAACATGTTATTGCTGTGCGTTGGTGTCCTGATCATCAGTACTAAGATTTCTTATTTATAAGGTACTTAACATCAATTACCTGGCACCCAGTTGTTTTATTGTCCCTGATTAAAAGATCTGTTATCTCTAACATGCAATTCGATTTTAAATAATCATTGTTAATAGTATTGCGATTATTCTTGAACAAGTTATTAAATAAAACCCTTCACAACCTAATTGCCCACCTAATTAAAATCAAATAATAATGAAGTTGTTTATTCATCATGTGAGAATGCCAGCTTCTCATTGTAGAAGATTAAGCCTGACTACAGTATGTTGTGATAAAACATTTAAAGATAAGACGTTAATGCTGTGTAGAAGCTAATGCTTGTTGACTGGAAGAGACAAGGAGGAGCAGCGGGGCTAGTGGAGTCAAAGTCAGAGAGTTTTTAAGTGTTTTCAGGAGGAACGAGGTGTCGCTGGCCAGCTGTTGCTCAATAAGCCGTGGCCTCTGTCCATTAGGCCGGAGGAGTTAATAAGACATGAGACAGGCCAGACCCAAGTGAGGAATGAAGGTCATTGAGTCAGCAGACTGCATCCATCCAAGAGGGCCAATATTTCATACAGCCCACAGGTTTCTGAAGTCCGCCTCTCACACACACACTTAAATGTACCCTTCAATGCAATGGCTACTAAAACCAAAACATTTCCCAAACCCTTTTAGACCGAGGGCCCTGTTTCACTAACACTTTCCATCTGACCTGTGAGCACTTAACCAGCTGACCCTGATCACGAAGACAGACATTCACAATTTCATGGCTGGTTTAATGTTCTTTGTGTTTTCTTTTGTTAGTCCACCTCATTCAAAAACATACTAATCGTCACCTCGCTCGCTCACCGTCATTCAAATGCCAAACCATTACACTGACAGAACTCTGGATCACTTCCTGTCATCAAACCCGCAATTGAGTTACGATGAATCAAAGACAATAGTCCAAGAAAATCATCTTCCAATAAAGCATTAATGTGGCTGCACAAATTGTATGTATACCTGAACGTACTGAAAGTAATTTGCCATTGCGTAGCACCATGGCTAGCCTAGCATCCTAGTAGTGCCATGTGCTATGCTATGCTAACGCCCAGCCGCCATGAGGGCTACTATATATATATATCTATATGTGATTATAATACTAAACTGTGACCAGTCCACTGCTGTCGTCTTGTATTAGTCACCAACAGTAAAGTTATGTGCCTCTCTGCTCTGGCGTAAGCTAGCGCAGGGCTATGCTATCACTGCAGTCGCCAAGCTAGTACCAGCATACTGATGGTACTGTCGCTTCATTATCCGATGATAGCATTTTCTGGTGGGGCTCCTCAGTGTAATGGGCCAACTATAGATGAGTTTGTTTGTTTTTGAGTGAGGAGGACCCTCGAGTTCCTGCAGGGACTTAACATTAGTTCCATTGAGTGAGTCGACCATCTGCCCACCATTAACCCCAGAACCCTCCTTCTCTTTACAGGCTGGACAATTTGCTTAATATGGCCTATGGCGTAAAGAGGTAATTAAAAACTTCACCCAATGCCAGATGTCCATGTTGACTCAATGATTTTTCAATATCCTTTTTCTCTGTTTTTTTTCTTCTTTTGTTAGTTTATGTTTCCTTGTATTTTTGCAGTCACTTTGCGTTTTCAATTAGTTCAAGGTCAACTGCATTTTTGGTTCTTTCATTTGTTTGTTTTCCCTCGTAAGCTTGAGTTGGTTTTTTAAAACCCTACCAACCACTTAACGGTGTTAAAAAAAAAATCTGAAAACAATTAGTGCTTGTTTTCAGTGGTGATGGATTTGCTTTGTTTTCATTATGACCCGTGCTGGTGTTGTTTGGAATGTTTTGGGTTGTTTCTGTGTACTGAATGGATTGTGTTCTCTGGTGTTAAACTCTTAATTTCTAGGTGTGTTTATTTCTACCGGATTCAGGTTCTCCTGCCTCGTCACCCCACAGTTATAGCTCAGAATCAAACCTTCATAAAAAGGAGCCATTTTGAATTGGTCTCTCCGATTGAACACATTATCATGAGAATAAAACCTTTGTATATCCACTTTTAACTATGTATCCAATCCTTTATTGGATGGATACATAGGTTCAGTGGAAGCAATGACAAAACTATAAATTGCCTTATATCTTTGGCTGAGATAAGTAGAGAAAAGACGCAGGATGAGGCGGGATGAACCTGGATCCCTGCTGGAAACAGGGAATGCTGTTTCACTGCAGACAGCTCCAGCTTTGCTCGGCACTGCTCTGCTCAAATTCCTTCCTTTCGCCTCCATGTTTCATTTTGCTTTCTCGCTACCTTAGGTCTTACATAACCCCGAGCAGCAGCCACTGTGGTGATAGATGTTTCATGCGCTGACAGTGGCATCTTGCATGTTGCAAGCACAGGGGACACCATCTGAAGTCAGCTTAGCAACTCAAACAGGGAGGAAGCTTTAGCTCCAGAGAAATGTTCCCTTAGCGAGTTCCCGGGAAAAGCTATAATTGTGTTCAACCCTCACTGCCTCCCATGCCCGATAAGCACTTTAAGTCGTAACATAATTTTCTTAAGATGAAAATAGTGTGCGATTCAGCCGTCCTGATTGCAAAGCATGCTACCAAGTTAGAAGTGCTTTCCGGTGATCTGAGGTTATTATTTGAAAGGAAAGAGAAGAAAGGTGTTAAGAGCTGGAGATGGTTCGCTTTAAAATGGACAGAATAGATATCTGGTCAGCTACACTGTTGCTATGCAACCCCTGGTCTCGTCTGTAACATTGGTTAGTGTTTGGTCCCGCTCTGATGGGTACGCTCGCATGCACGCTTGCACACACAGACACACAACTCCACGTCCTCACAGTGGAGAGTGTTAGCCAGCCTCCAAACCGTCACACTCTCACAATCCTCCACACATACAGTACTCCGGCTTTTGCATATAAATCACCCGGGAGTTTTTTCCGCGCCCAGCAGGAGAGGCCTGAACCCAGCCGAGCATATCAGACGAGTCCTCGACGCCATGAAGCCAGTTTAGATTCTTCATATTGGAGAAAATATTCTCAACAATACATCTCGGCCATGGAGAGATATGTGTGAGACAAAGGAATCTTTTATAACACTGTTTTCTGCAGGGGGAATATAAAGAAAATCCCTTCTATCTTTATCATACCGAAAGATATAGTACCATAATCTGTTCACTTACTTTACACACTAAAAGAAAGTCCAATCAGAGCTTTTACAGTAACCCTAGGTGCTTGTATTACGTGCACGGCTACGACAATGGCCAGAAGCAAACTCTGCGAGACCAAAGTCATGCAGGAAGGTCGCAGTGATTGCCGGCCATATATAGTCACTGGAGAGAGAGAGGGGTGCTATCGATCAGTGCCACCGGCTCACGAAGAGAACAGAACACCCTGCAGACTGTGGGAGGAATACACTTTGTACCTTAATGCCACTAGGCTGCAAAGTGCTTCCATTTAGTTTGCTCCCCTCTTCCCTCCCTCCCTTTTCTCTTAAGAAAGCAGCCTTCTCTGAGACAGCTGCAGCAAAGCGGAAATATCAATTAAAGCACGCCCAATAATGCCTATAGTCGTTTCTTGAAGAGAGGTGGAATAAGAAATGAACATTTTGATCTCATTTACCTTTTATTTAAAAGTGGGGTTTTTTTTTTGTTCCTCCTTTCCCTTTCCCTTTGAGCGGAAAGGCAATTAAGTGAAGTCAACTGAGGATTCAAATCTCTTGCATCACAAGAAAAAGAGGGAAAATTATGAGGCGAATGAGAACAGATTTAGCCGTGATGGCGTGATCTTTGATGGATTCCTAGCATCGCTTCAATTCAACAACTTCCTGCAATTTAGCTCCTAAAAGAGCCACTCAAGGACACAAAGACTGAACCTTCGTCTGCATCTCCTTCAGCAGAGAAACAGCTCGGCACGCTGCGCTGTCGTCACTCCTGACAGGAGGCCTCTCAGAATTGAGGAGCTCATTTAGTAGTAGCTATGGAGACACACATCCACTAACCTCTGCATGAACACACATGCCCTTTCAATAAAGCCCCATGCAGATGCACCCTAGTTCAGACGGGGTTTGGAGATCAGCTTTTTGGAGTTTGGTCAGAAAACTAGGGAAGCTTGTTATTTCTTAAGGCTGTAGAAAGTAGCTGGCGAGCGTCATGGCAAGCTTTTAGATTTTTAAGGAGGATTATGTTTAAGAACGTGGCTCTCAAAAGACTAATCGACATGTTTTTCACCGGTTTATGGCCATTTCATGAACAGTACATGCAGACATTAAGTTCACCCGTCCACCTCGACTCTCCATTAACACTCCCTCTTGTCTCTCCCCCCTTCTTCTGCTCTCCCTCTCCTCTCAGGTTCTCCCCTATCACCATTGACAGCATGACCAGCCTGGTGGGCATGAACATCCCCGGGCACACGGGCACCGGGTGGTGCATCTTCGTGTACAACCTGTCCCCGGACTCGGATGAGAGCGTGCTCTGGCAGCTGTTCGGGCCCTTCGGAGCCGTCAACAACGTGAAGGTGATCCGCGACTTCAACACCAACAAGTGCAAAGGCTTCGGCTTCGTCACCATGACGAATTACGACGAGGCGGCCATGGCCATCGCCAGTCTCAACGGCTACAGGTTGGGCGACCGCGTCTTGCAAGTCTCCTTCAAGACCAACAAGACACACAAGTCCTGAACTTTAACAGGTAGAAGCAGTTGCCCTGCGACTTTGTCTGCTCCCAAATTGCCCCCAACCTCACCCCCCCTCCTCCCCCCGTCCCTTAGCCCCTTCAGTCACTACCACCCTCTACTACAGCCATCCAACACAGCAAACTCAAACTCCAACCGGAACACAAAGCAACCAACAAACCATCAAATAAATTGAACTAGAAATGGCTTATATTATAACTTTGGACCTATAAGCCAATGTTGCCTAAGTATTACAAAAATGAAATGATGAAAATGTTCATACGTTTTTCGGAGGCTCCTGTGATAATGCAGGCTTCCCTTTGTTGTATATTCTTTCTGTTCGTTGTGGTTGTTTCAATGAGTTTTCTCTCTTCTGTGTAAACAGTAGCAAATCCCTGTATCCCCTAATTTCAGAGAAGAGAATGTCCTTTTTAGATTGAAAACCTTTTCTCTGTCTTGATTCAGGATTTGTTTTTCTTTTGTAAATCCGGATCCACTGTCGTTAGTATTATATACCTCCCTGTCGGTGAAAGGGAGGAGGCTCTTTTTTAAATTGGTGAACCATTCATTCATTTTTAGTGTGTATCAAAAACGTCCCCTTATCGATTATTAAATGGGATTCCACAGTCCCGGTAACTCTGATGTAGAAAAAAAAAAGAATTTCTAACATAATGTCTTTCCTCACTGGGGTTCAGGGAGATGGGGCGAGGGAGGGGATGGGTTAGCTTTCCTGATGACACGTAATTTAAGAGAAAAAAATAACACTGTTGCCAAAGAGAAGATCTCTTTGCTTGAAACAAATGCGTTTAGAAAAAGATAAAAATGAAGAGAAAGAAGATCTATTTTTATAAATGATAATTAAAAGAATAATTATTGAAGAATTTTTACAAGAATCTGGATTTGAAAAAAGAGAAAAATATTTTGACTGGCTAACTAGGGGGGGCCGGGGCGGGAGGGGGGGGACACCACCTTGTCTTGTCGTTCTGCCGTGGTACTTTATAGGATCGAAGGTCTGCTTGTTTTTTGGGGAATCCAAGTTGGAGGTGATTTTGTAGATGGAAGGGATGCAAACCGAGGCAGGTGATTTTGGTAATTTTTCACATATGTACTAGTGCGTAATTATTCAACAGCGATACCCAAAAGGGAAGGGAGTGGGGTCTTTCCGAGGCCCAACCATCCTTATAGTCCAGAGCCCAAAGCAAGAAGACCCTTTGTCCACTTGTTTTCGCCATCGAGTCAATATGGGATATCAGTAAATAGATATATACACATCTATCCATTTAGAGAGCATACTATACATTACCTATATCATTTTTCTTCGCTCTGCGTTTGTGAATTTGAAAAGAACTTCCTTTTAGCGATCAACAGTAGGTGCTATACTACATTATTCACATATCTTAAATATCCAAGTTTGTTGTTCTATGTGTTGTTTAAAGATAAAAAAAATACTTCGATGTTGGCATTGAATTGAGCTGCTGTTCTTTGTTTAATATTTGTTTATTGTTAAGCCCAAAAGAATCTGGTGAGACGATTTCTTTGCTGAAAAACCAGATGATTGATTTTGTTGGGCCTTGTAAGAATCACTGAACTTTGAGTTGGTATCTTTTTGGTTTGGCTTGCTGACTTTTTAGGTTACTTGCTGAGCGTGAAACGTTTGTCAACACTAAATGATGATTAGCTAGTTCCGTTAGTCTAGATATTTGTTTCCTTAAAAAGGATCTATGACAACTGTGTCTTTATTTGCTGTGTACAAATAGATGATATATATATATACATATATAGTCTACATTTGTTTTACAATATCTACTGTACGATATGAGTTGTCACTGTTCTTTTGTTTGAGCTTGTCTTTTTCATATGACAACTTATTATGAAGTGGTGGTTCAGTTACTTAGAAAAACTTGTGAGGAAACTGTTCAATTGTTGTCATGTTGCTTGTGGAGAAAAAAAAAAGATTTGGATTAACTTTCAGTTAGCTAACCGCGGCAAAAGAAACCGAACAAAAGCTTAGAATATAACTGTATTTGTTTACTTACTTATCTATTTTTTAAGACTATTTATTTTTTCTATTTATTTGTATTTATTCAATATTTATTAATTGGTTTATTTATCTGTGTATTTATGTATTTATTTGTTTCATTGTCTGTGTATTTGCGTGATTCTGGTACAGGGAGGGGGCGTTTCTGAGCAAAAGGGAACAAAGCGACTAGTGGAGCGGCTCGTCCAGTAGTCCACTGCACTGAGAGAACTTTTAGTACGTTCGTGCTTTGTACCAATATATCAAAATTACAATATAAAAAATCTAAAAGTCAAGAAAACTGAAAAAAATGTCTGGAGGGTTGGGGGACGCTCTTCCCTTATTACTAGAAACAGTTACTCGCTATGCATAACCTAGTTAATAGTTACATTTGCTATTGCTTTTTTCTTGTCTTGTTCAAATGAAATCTTTAGATCTTTTTCAATAAAGTTTAGTCTTAATAGAATGTTATAAACAGTCGTTCTGGTTCAATATAACCTGTGATAAGTTTGTGTTGTTCTAAAAAGCCACTCCGTCCACACCCTCCCTCCACTTACTACCGCTTTGTGATGAAACCTTATGCAAAAATGTGGGTCTGAAAGCATCGTTTTCAGTTTTCAGTGAAACATTTTATATAACATCCAGCTCTTGGAGGCTTGGGCACATAACATTTTAAAAAAACGGGAGCAAATGCCCATTGTTGTTTGAGGGTCATTCATTGCACTGGACTAAAAAATCGGTCACTTAAGAGTCAAAACTTATTTTTAAAAATCATGTTTTCAAATGACATACCAACAAATCTAAAAAAAAGAAAAAAAACAGAAATTGTTACCATTGCACACCAACTGTGATTTACAGCAGTTGTTGCTATACTCTGGAGAAATGAAAAAGGGATTGTACCGATTCTATATTTTATATACTCTAATATGATATATATTATATATTTTGAAAGGTGAAAGGGAATGGTTCCAGAAGTATAAATATGCGGAATTGGATTATTTTGTTTGTTGTTAAGACTTGAAAACATGAAGGAGGTGTGCGGAGAGCATTTCAAACACTCAGACGCATGCTCGCATAGGGACATCCTCCTCTCTCACACCTCAGTCATCTGACAGGCCGGCTCATCTATATCCTCATCGCCATCCCGTCGTCATCCAATCACATAGTTTTATAACGTCATTAACGGCAACAAACCCACCCACCCACCCACCAACAGACCAACCAGACCCTTCACGCTCCCCGCCGCCGTCGGGAGCTTGAATTATGCAACGACCCCAGTAGAATGTTGTTCTGACGTGTGAACTAATTTCCTACACTTGTATGACTTTTGAACTCTTACGATGCGTGCCTGTGTTTCCGCCTAGACCCTGTGTGCACATGTGTGAGTGTGTGCGCATGTGTGCATGTTTGTATGCATGTTCCTTTTATGTAGTTGTGTGCCGTGTCCTCATTATGTGTGTTGGCGTGGTTACGTGTTTGTGATTGTGTGTGTGCGATTGGGGTCTGTTTTGTGCACATGTATACTTAGTATATGTGTGAATCCCTGAGTGAACGTGTGTGTGTGTGTGTGTGTGTGTGTGTGTGTGTGTGTGTGTGTGTGTGTGTGTGTGTGTGTGTGTGTGTGTGTGTGTGTGTGTGTGTGTGTGTGTGTGTGTGTGTGTGTGCTGAAACATGGGGCTGCGTCACCTCGCTCTATGCCCACCCCTATGGCTCACACCATCCCCTGTAGCGCCTTATAGTGGCAGCCTGCCAGTAGGAACAACGCAGCCAGTAGTGGAGGAGGGAAGGTGAACAGAGGAACTCGGCTCTTCTTGTCAGTTTTCATTTGTTTTCCTCCTGAGACGTGTTTGTTTACTATCTGAAAAATCTATAAACGAAATCTTTAAAGACAAAAAAGACGAAAAAATGTTCACAGGGCCCCATGACCGCGGCTCTCTCTACTCTCTCCTGCTTATGTTATTACTTAACAATTATCAATGATGATTATTATGATTATTATTGCTATTATTCTTAGTATTCTTATTCTTATTATTAATCCAATTACTGCGATGAATGACTTCATGTTATCCTTGCTAGTTTAGGTCATTTCTGAAACTGGAAACAAAATAAAAATCTTGCTGTAAATGTTCGTTTTTTCTTTTTCATAAAACTGTTGTGTTTGAATTATTTGTACTTTTGAATGTTGGGACAATAAAATGAGGTGTTAAGAGCTTGGATGTTTCTTGTTGTGATGAATGAAGCACTTCAATATAATACACTTTTATAAGGGGACATCTTACCACTCACTTGTTATTGGTTGGATTCAATACGGGAAATCTAAAAGGGTTTAATGATAATTCAGCTCATTAATAAAGCTTACACAACGAGACGTTGACTAAATATTTTTGACCTTTGTAGCGTACATTGAAATAAGCATGAACGAATCAACAATTTAGGCTGACAATGTGCAGCAACTTCAATAACATATATCATTTTTGAGGCATAACAAAACAAGCAAGATTTGATAGTTTGCCATTTCCACACATTTTAATATTTACGGCTTTTTTATAGTTCTTTGAAAATGTATAATTTTTGCACAACATGAGTCTTTTGAGGCAGTAATCTTTGGCTCAGAGGAATTATGTATAATTAATTTAGTGTATTTTAATATGTAGGTGTGTTGAGGTTTATCATTTATTCATGAATTTGAATAAGTACCATTAAAGCGCTCTATGAATAACATTTAGCATTTTTATTAGAAGTGAAACAACCTATTAATCATAAGTGTTTTGCAGAAAATCATGATTCTCCTTTCATTAATTATAACTGCAGTCTTTGGTTTTAAAACGTAACTACATGTTTCCGTCTTCACTTGGGGGAAGATTTCACGTTATAAATACGACACAACAGAAGTAACAGCGACAGTAAATCACAGATTGAATCAGAGTGACCTTTCAGCTTCTGAGGGACAGTCACGACTCTGAAACACTGCAGACATGAAACGCAGCGCTGATCCCAGGCAGCCTTTAAGGTGCAGCGAGATAACACTGCCCCCTGCATCCTCACACCAATATCTGTGGTAAATATTATCTTTTGATTTCAATAGAAACTTCAACAGTCAGCCCAGAAACACCTGAAGCGACGGGACTCGCCTCTGAGGAGAGAGGAATATCTCTGCTGCCTGCACGCCACATCTGTTCATCAATAACAATGTTCTCAATGTACTCGGTAATGTTCAGTGATGTGAGCCCAGCTTTACGCCTTCATAATCCAAATCACACCGGAGTGCTTTGCGGCGGCTGTGGAGGAGATGATGGTGTGTTCAGCCACTCTTGTCTTTCATCTCCCGTTGTTAGCAACTTAATGATCCTCCACTCTCATCAAGGAGACGGGGAGGACATGAGTCAGCGTGTGCACTCCACTTTCCTTTTGAACCGACTTGTTTGGGGTTTAAAAGGCAATAACAAGTTCAATAAACAACTGTTGATTCCAACTTTCACGCTATAATAAGAAGTCTAATTTGCTCCGCTGTGACTCAGACGTGGCTAAAACAAAATGCAGCGTGAAATATCTCAAAGAATATCTCAAACAAGACATTTAAATATCAAAAGGGGAAGTGCTGAGATTTGTTGGGTTTAATATGGCTCACTTCTCACCATATTCTGTCACGAGGTGCAACCATATGATGCTGCCTCTCAGTTTCTATATAAACCACTTTTCATCTGCTGGGTGAGACTGATCACACTCCTCCATGGTGTGAATGTCAGCTTCCTGCCGCGCGCCATGTAGACGGCAGATCTGCCAAATGACAAGCCTCACAGTCGGAGGCATATTATTTCATAAGGAGCTACTTGTGTTTGACAAATCTTCCGTGCGGCGGGGGGGCTGTTGTTGCCCTCTAGCTCTCCTTGGCACTCTCTGACATTAATGGGATACCTCTCTCACCCCTCGGTCCACTTTAGAGATTTCACACCGCCTAATCAAAAGACTCTCAGCTTCACTTCACGTTATTTATTAACAGAGCTGCTCTCAGACAAGTCCACTTCATTTTCTGTTTTGGCATTAACGCACTGATTGGACAATCTGTTTAATTATAAAGTTTGTTTTAATGGGTTACTTTGCCCGGTATAATGCGCTCAATCTATTCCAGTTAGTCTCAGAAACTAACTTCTGTCGTTACTGCACGTCAAAATAACATCAGATCCTCTAATGTGGTTTTTTGACTCCCTCTTTGTGAGTGGTGTTATGGCGCCGCCTATTATGAAGCTTTTATTGTGTCAATACAATATATACTTAATGTTATATTGTATTAAACTAGGTTTACTGATGCATCTTCAGATCAATTCAGTCATATGTGCCTAAACAAAAATAAACATATTATAAATATGGCATTGTGTTTCTGTATAAAATACTTCCTTGACTTTCGGTTGGATGGCATAAGTATATTCTTCAAAATATGAGTGTTCTTAAAGGGGACCTATCATGCAAAATGCACTTTTGTACGTCTTTTATACATGAATATGTGTCCCCGGTGTTCCAGGGAACTCACCAAGTGTCAGAAAACACAACCCTCTCTATTTTCCTCCATACCCAAATCTCTAAAAAAGGGGCTGCAACGGATCTGATAAAAACTGATCCAGATTTGAACACTGTCCTGACGTCAGGACGGTGGCGCTACGGCTATTGGGCCAACTCCACCAATCAGGAGGAGACAGCCACGGCCATTGCCGTTCGAAAGCGCTGGAGACGCTGTAGTACATATGCCAGGCCTGTAGATGGTGCTGTTCTCACAGAATCTGCCCTTGCAAAAACAGAGCTAAAAAATGTCAAATTGAGCAAAATGAGGCATGGCTAAAATGCATGATCTGTTTGGTATTTTGAAAAAAAAAAAGTATAAATATGCCTTATATAGGTATGGTCCTATACTATATTATTATAATATAGCATGATAGGTCCACTTTAAGTTATCCTTTGTCTTAAAAAGATGGGAAATATCAAACGTTTTTACTTACTTTTGCCAGTTTTTATAACAAAACTACAGTTATTCAAATTTGGTTGAGTGGGTTTCTATTCTTATCTCACTGTTCTTACGTTTATGTCGATCACATGACAATAAATCTGCCTCTTTCTTGACATTACATTTAAACTGTTGGTTTTCACGAAGCTGTGTTAGTTGGTTTGCTGCGACCTTGGAGATACGTTTTGATGAAAAGATAATTACAAGCGTTAACTTTTCAAGAAGCATTATTGTTTTTCAGGCAGGATTTAACTTTATTTCACATTTTGCTTCACTAACAGAAGTTTTAACCGCCTACAGTGGGAACATGTTGTCTTCTAACTCACATTTACCTCTCGTACAATAACTCAATAAAGCTTTAAAGTGGCATTTATAATATATATATATATATTTTGTGAACTGTCAAAAGAGAGAAAGAAGTCACTGTCAGGATGGATACACAATACTCAAAAACATTATACCCCACACCTCCGTAAAGCCTGTGGCAGTCAGCCATAGCGTGTTGCAGTGTACACATGTTATTGTATTATAATAATAATACATTTTGTAAAAGGCGCCTTCCAAAGCTCTCATGGTTGCCGTAACAACACGAAAAAAAAATGAAATAGCACAAAAACAACACCATATAATCAATAAAAACAGAGGACGTGATGTGACCAGGGCGGATATGCCAGTGTGAAGCGATATGTTTTGAGACGTGATTTATACTTGCATCAAACAGAAACAGAAGATAAATGTCCCCAACTCAGCAGTCCCTTCACGTTATCGTATGCTCAGCCTTTAGAGCGATGCAGTGAGGACCTATGTTTAAAGGCCGACCCGGACGGTAGCATAGCAAGGGCTCCCTGAGCGGAAAGCCAATGGGATTTTTCCATTGGATCCTGGTATTACATTACATTACATGTTGTTAGACGCTGTTATCCAAAGTGACTCACAGTTCCTTTCAGGACTGTAGGCAATCCCCACAGGAGCAATTTGGGGTGAGGTGTCTCGCCCAGGGACACAACGACATGCTGACTGCAGCGGGACTCCATCTTGCAGGAAATAAACTCTGTGGCAAAACATACGTTTATGATACTAACACGAAATGCTCAGCAGGATCATCTCTACATATTAAAACCACTGCAAATGCCAGAAGTAAAAAGCTAACGTTAATCTTGTGTTCACGTGCAGGTATTATTCCAGGCTTCTTAACAAAAAAGCGTAACGCATTTCATTGGACTTAGAAACTGGGGAACGGGAAGTGGTAAAACACATTTTCGGGTTTTAGAACTCATTGCTTCACCACTATTGCGTCCCAGTTCTCCCACTTGCAACATCCAATCAAGCCACCTAACGACTCTATAGCTATCATATTAAAAAAGAGGTGTTAGCCAATGGACACGTGTTAGGTGGTTGACAGGTGAGGCATCTGTTTTGCTTCGGTGAGGCATGCTAACAAAACACATTTTTGAGGATATGATGAGAGCATGCCTGAGGGTGAAGTATTCCTAAAACCAGCTAACTGTGAGGAGAAACATTAGACTGACCACCAATATGTCTACAAAATAAGAAATAAACAAGGCAGCAACACAAAGTACTTCCAGCAAAAGAAAATCCACTCTCCTCCCTGTGGCTGTGGTCCCAGCTCAGGATTTCACTTCTTCAAGCTAGCAAATATGTGTTGCCCATTTAAGTTGCTTCTACTCTGGAGGTAGGGCTGTGCGATTATGGCAAAAATCATAATCACGATTATTTTGGTCAATAATTGATATCACAATTATTAAATACGATTATTCATTGACTTTGAAAACATCCATTTATTGAACTTTAAAACAAATTAAAATAATAATTTGAAGAGTATCTGTTTAACTGTTGATTACCCTGAACGTATAATTCAACTGAAAAACCAATAAATAAAATAAATTATAAATGATGTATATTCACATTTAAATAAATAATATCAAAATAATAAATACCAATAAAAAAATATATATATAATTTGGAGCGCACTTCAACAAGCTACTAAACATATATAAATATGATAAATAAATTAGACTATAAAATAAATTAGATCATATATGTTGCAGTGCACTGTCACAACCTAGCAAAGCAAAATAATCGTTTTTTTCGATTATGTTGTTTTTGTAATTGTGGCAGGCCAAAATCGTAATTGCGATTAAAAAACGATTAATTGCACAGCCCTATCTGGAGGTCACTTGAAGTGCGGCTGCTAAAC